ATTTATATATATATAATCATAAATATTCTATATATATAATATATTATTAACAACTGACTTGCTTGCATTTTATATCCCGCGATACACGTTTCGTATCGTATCGTAATACTGTGTTAGACTGGTAAAATACCATACGAAACGTAATATACATTACGACTTCCATTTCTCTTCGACACTATCAAGCTTGGAACGTAAATATAAATTAACGTTGTCATAAGCTACGCTCGCGTACGCGCGTGTAACTTCTTCCAATACTGTTTAATATGCGTGTATGTTTTGTGTATGTGTGCGTTATTATGTGTTAAAATCTATTATAATTTTACTAAAAAAATATTGATTGATAAGCTACGCGTACAGTGCTATAATTATTAACATTTAAAAATGAGATCTAGTTTCTTTATTAATGTAAGAATAAACATTAAGAATCATTATTGAGTCAATAATGGATTTAATGCTGTATATATGTATGTATGTGTGTATGTGTGTGTGTGTGCGTGTGTATGTCAAGTGTATCGGTCAAAAACCTCGTCGTCGTTACCTGGAGCCTTGTCAAGTCAGTACATTGCCAATCCGACTCTTTCGACACCATGTCGCGCATATCGCGGATACATATATCTTCTCGCTCGTATAGAGGCGGATCGGCAAAGCGCTTAGCCCGCGATGCGGTCTCTCTCTTATCGTTACGAAAATTACATTAATTTATCTCCTCTTATTAATCGTATTCTAGGGAACTCTGACTGCACTGGTTCTCAGCGAATTCCAGACTGCCCAGCAGTCAGACATACATAACAATTATCACAACTTAATATCGTATAATACTAATACAATATTATGTAAATATATTAATATTTATATATAGTGTGTGTGTATGTCAAGTGTATTCGAAAACCTTATTTACCTGTCCCTCATGCTCTTCTTTTACCAGTGTGTTTTCTTTTCTTCTCGCGTTGTAAGTAAGTACTTATGTTTTAAGTTCGTGCAGCGCAACTGCTGTCGGACGATTTCGAGGCCGATTTTATTTTATTACGTACGCTAATCGATCGAGTTCTTTCGATATATGGCTACGTGCTCTTGCCGTTACCGCAGCGTGTTCGAATCACTTTCACTTTAAATGTTTATTCACTCAGAAGATATCTTCGTCCGGATCGCTCGACGGTGCAGCCTGAAGCGCCAATTGCATACTGGATTCTGTATTACGCCGCTTCATTTTACCCTTAGTCTTCTTCAGCATCGTAGCCTAGGAAGGGACAGGATCAAGGGAGCGCACAATGGAGCAATCGATAAAAATGTCAGTCAAAATGTCGCTGACAAAATAGAAGTATAGAAATAGAAATAGAGGTAGAAATATATATATATATAGAGAGAGAGAGAGAGAAAGAGATTGCGAACTCAGGATCAACAATTTATACGTATAGAAAAAAGGAGGAAAAACTTTTACTCTCGCAAAACTAACTAACTACTATCCGATAGAATGCGTCTAAATCCACACATTACGACACAAGCTCGAGCTAGCTGCATTGGATCGAGGCATCGACAAGGTGTTACGGAGAGTTGATCGGTTTTACATGCATCAACGAGGAGGGACCGGATCTTTCTTTTTCTATTCTTTTTTTTTTTT